TAATAATGAATAAATTGTGATTATGTGATGCTATTTTTAGCTAATTAGATCTTGTTCATGTGAGATTGTATTATTTGAGCACAATAGTCATAAAGATTGTTATGTATTCTTGAATTGGTTATCTTGATTGTATAGATGAATTAATTTTGAACTTAAGTTGACGAACCAAGATCCCTTTATTACACCAGAGCCACTTAACCTATTGAAAGGAATAAGTTTGGGGTGATTGATCTGGTGTTAGAAACTATCCAGATATGTACTGATTCCATATATGTTGTAAATATTATGTGGGTTATTTTTGGCTAATAGGTGGAACTTAGGTAATAATCCTATACTAGGAGCTTTAATCTCAATTGCGTATCCAAAACAAAAAAAAAAAAAGAGGCATTGCATTAGTCAAGACACGTAAAAAAAAGTTACCTATATTTTAGTATAGAGTTAGTCTTGAGTAATCTGGCCATAATCGATATCAATTAGGAGATGATATACCGAGAAAGAAGGTTGCCTACTATATAGAGTGAAAACTATCTTCAAAAATTAAACAAAAGATCCCCAAAACAAAAGAAGTGACACGTGAAAAACTAAAAGAAAAAAAAAAGCACCGGAGTGTGTTGAGACCATGGCAAAACAATTATAAGCATTGTTTCTATCCTGCTAAGCCTTGGATATTTAATTGTGAATTAAGATTTTTCGTGAGATTTATTATTTTAGGTGATACTTGGAGTTTGAGACATTCAAATCTAGGTAGAATCATCACTTATCAAGGTAGTAGCTTTTATTGGTGAAATCCAAATCAAACATGAGCGAGAAACGAATGAGTTCTGCGAAATCAACCATAGAATATACCTCCCAGGTATGTGATTAAAAAATAAATTTGAGTTGTGTATCCCACGAAAGATGAAATAATATATTTGACTATTAAGTGTTGAGAAATACAACTTAAAAGTTTATAATGATTTGATTGACCAGTACGCACACATTGATCAACCATGAATAAGTGTAAATTAGTTTCGGCTGCATTCATGAACTCTTTATGAATTGTCAATAATTTTATTACTTGATATGAGTTCGGCATAATTATCAAATTTATTAATGTTATGTTTGTATGCTTGCATATTTAGTAAATAGTCTTGCTTGAGATGAATAAGAGTTTAAGTTTTGAGATTGTGATAAATGCATATTATGCACTTACTTAGTGCTTCTTTGCTTATTTATTTGTGATTAATTGAGCGGATATCTACCTAATATATGTGTAAATGTGTTAATTGTAGGTAAATCCCCCAATTTTGGATGCAATTGACATGAAAATGGTGGAATTGAAGTTAAATTAGAGTCGATTCGGAGCAATTGATGATCAACCATGTTGCAATTGATCAATTGGAAGACTTATGGGAGCAATCGGAAGTGATTCACAAGTTTTGGGAGCTAAACACAACATTTGAAACGTTTAGGGACTTAACTGCACACTGTTAGAACTTACATCAAATCGATTATGAATGGTTGAGGAATGTTGCCGACCAATTTACAATGAATTAAAGCTAAAGGACCAAGATTCAAAGAATAAAGGATGCAAATTGAACAGAGGACGAAGTACGAGGATCAAATTGTACATGCTGGAAAGTTGCAGGGCTGCGATTCCCCCAAGGACTGCTATTGCAATAACCAAAATTGTTGCAACAGACCCTGAAACTGTTCAGGTGTGCAATCACAGTACCTATACTTTTGCGATTGCACAGTTTGGTCCCGACAAAATTATTTTCTTTCCTTCTTTTTTTTTTTCCACACAAAACACTTTATGAAAATCTTATTGGGCACGGATTTTACCTAAATCATATCCTATAAATATTTAGGGTCTGTTTGATTGAAAAGGTGGAAAATTGATGGAAAGCAAATGAATTCCAGAGAATTGAATTGCTTAAAAATTGTTTTATTGGGAATTGTAATTAATTATGTTTGATTTGTATAATTTTTCACCTAGAAAATATTGAAAGTTTGGTGTCCGTTTGACTTTATTTTTTATGAAAATTATCCATTAAAATGATAATTTTTTTACCATTGGGTCTAGCATTTGTTCCAATTGCCAAAAAAATTTTAAAAATTTAAAAAATAAAAAAAATAATACCGAATAACATTCGTTTGGCTTTGTTTTGAGCGGAAATTATTAATAAAAGTGATAATTTTTTTTACCATTGTATCTAGAATATTTTTCAATTGTCAAAAAAAAAAATGGAAAACAGAATTCCCACTAAGACCTAAAGAAAACCAATTCCTCAATTGCCCAGAAAATAGGCGCGTGGCTGCTGGGGGAGAAAAACAATTTCTGAGAAAAATAAAGCATATCAAACACTACAAATGCGCGGAAATGAAAAAGCTTTTCCATTTTCCATGGAAAATGGGCTCAATCAAACAGGGCCTTATATTCATCCAAAGACCAAATGGGAGGAAGTTAGAGGCTCAAATACACAATTTCTACATATTTAAAAGAGCTCATTGAAGAGGAATTGAGAGATTTATTCAAACTTTGAAGAAGTTATTACTACAAGACACTTTTATACATATTTCTACATCATTACTCGGGATTATTGAAGAAGAAGAAGAAGAAGAAGATGTCGATCAAATGAGAGGAAATAAAAAACCACTGAAGGAATTTAAAATTCAAGACAACTTTCTTTTTTCCCAAATCCTAATTTTCAGGTGATGTTGTATTTATTCATATTGTGTTCTTGTAATTAATTGATGCTTGGCTAGTTGTTTAGCTTTTAGGATAACATTGAATCCTACGTTTTGATATTTAAATAGTAATTATATAATTTTGACATTGAGACGACCATTTGATTGGAATGTTTGTTATGCTCTTAAAGCTTTCAATTAATTGGTGACTAATTGAATTGATGTATGATTCCTATTGATATTAGAAAGAAGGAATAGGGAAGATACATTGCATGTGATTACATTCATTGTGAGACTAAATACACGTTAGGAATAGTGTCTTAACTCTTGCATGATCCAATTGATGCTCTTGTGCTTTTAATGATTGCTTTGCATATGAATTCAGAATAGGAATATTATCGAATTGTGCTTAGTAATATGTTAGATTGATCTCATGAGGGAATATTAAACATGATAGGAACATTGATCTTCATGTCCTATAATTGTTGTAAAATTTTTGAATTAATATTAAAGTGGATAAATGTAGGGGGATATAGGATCCTAGTATTAACTAATCGAGTAATATTACACGCTTCCTACCACATAGTCAGATTAATTATAGATTTAGGTTGTTAATATCACTAAACCTCATCTAATTAATTGTGATTTTACATTCGATTAGAATTGGGGTTAATTAAGTAATACATTAAATACTTATTACTCGTGTGATCGATACTTGAACTCACATCCATTTTACTACTTGTTCACGATCCATGCACTTGTGGTATAAAAATTGACAGTAGTACACTAACACTATGTGTGTGTTTTTCACCTATATTGTCATCTCATGTTGTGGTGCATGTAGGATAGTAGCGTAAATGAAATATGGAGTCTTCAAAAGAGACAATGTTGGATGGCATAAGGCCAGAGGATGGCCATTATTGAGATCTATGAATTTCTGAGTTCTTGTTGATTGGCTTGCTCCAGTGTTCAAATGGTTTGTGTTAGCTTGAAGGACAACGTTGTGGATTGTAATTTGCCCTTTATTATGGTTTGTTTCATATCAAATGTCGTGCTGCGTAATTGTATTTAAAATGTTGGGAAAGAATATTGATATTCCATTGATGATGTCTTTTCATATTGATAAAAACTTTCCTTGCTTTAACAGTCTTTCCAACTTCCACTAATGTAGTGAATAATGAAGCTGAGAGCCAAGATTTTTATTAGTATATATACAAGTACGTGTCGCAACATGAATCATTTCTGCCATTTCCACCTTTAAATATAATGAAGTTACTGTGCTGAACCCCATGCAGAATCACTCATCAAGAAGCTGAGCCTGTGGATTCTTGAATGTCTAGCTGATGTTCTGCTACCAGGATACAGGAATCACTTTCTAAGGATGAATCTGAACTCCCATCCTTGAAAGAGTCTTTGGGTGAATTGAGAAAATCAGTCGTGCATTGTACATCAGGGGCTATGCCAACCTGGTCGATATCATGAAGTGCCGGAGACAAATACTTGGCCACCGTTATGAAAAGGGCCGATCCATCATGTAGTTCTGTCACACTCTGCACGTAACATTTTTATGAGATTTTTAGGAAATATAGAGATAAAATGAACAATTAAGAGGAGCCAATTCAAATAAACAAGGAAAATAAGTCCCTAGATAGATGTTTTATCAAAACCTGGATTTTTCCTTTCCCAAAAGTTCTATGTCCCACGAGAATTGCTCTGCCATTGTCGTGGAGTGCTCCTGCAAGAATCTCACTTGCACTTGCACTCCCTTCATTTACCTGTTAGGAAATGAAAAATGATATTTAATTCATACAAGGACATCAAAGTGTTCCCACTCCCACGTAGGAAAAAAAGGAAAAAGAAAGAAAGATGACATTTGAAAGTATGAAACTTACAAGAACAACGAGTGGATCATGCGTTATGGCATGCCCATCCATCATGCTAATAGGTAGCATATCCCCATTTCTATCAATGGTGTTGACTAGAGTCTCATTTCCATCTAGCCAAATCTGGGCAACATCAAGTCCTGCTTTCACCAAACCACCCTGCAACGTTGCAAGGAGGAAAGATGAGCATTACAACAGTTGAAATCTGGACAAAAAATATGAAAAATATGATTTAAAAGAAGAAGGATAGGGACTAACTGGATTGTTTCGCAGATCCAGGATATATGATTGCACACCCTGATTTTCCATCTCATAAATCGCATTTTCCATCTCTGTGGCAGCACTCTGTTACTAACATAAAGTGTTATTTCTTTATAGATGATTCACAAAATGATGATGTCTTAGAGCTTTAATTGAGGATTCAAAATGAAAAAAGAAGTGATCAAGCAGATTAGATATCAACCGAGCAAGTACCTGAGAGAAGGTTGCCAACTTTACATATCCGGTCTTTGATAGATGGCCATCGGGTGCTCTGTGGGGAATGATGGCACTAGAAACAGATGAAAGCTTAATGACTTCACGGGGCAGTTTTACCTTCAAAAAAACGAGCATTAGCCTAGTTAGCTTAATAACTTGCAGTCATGAAGAATCTCTTGTTCTTATCATATAGACCTATGATAGGACAACCTTAAGATTGGATGTAAGAAGAACTAAACAACATGAGTTGGGATCTATACCTCTCTGATACAAGAACTTCCCAAGTTGTCAACCTGCAGAACAAAGGTTTGATTAAAAAAAAATGAATTCAGTATTTGATAATGAAATTAGGATTCACTTACAGTTGCAATTTTATCAAACATAGAGCTATAATGAAATTGTGCAAGTAAGAAAGTAAAATGCTTACGCTGTTAACTTTTATTGTCACCGTTGTTCCAACACGTCCTCTGAGCTTTTGTGCTGCTGCTTCACTAGCCACTCCATCCAGTCTTTCACCTAATGCCCCTCAAAACAACATCCAAATTTACTCCAAGTTGTAGTATTTTTAATACTGGTAATTGATATTTTTTTCTCCTAGTATTTGACAATCAAGTTCAGTTAAAGATGGTACCATTTATTTCAATTAATTCGTCTCCTTCGTGTATACCAGCACGTGCAGCAGGGCCATTCTGTATACATGACAAGACAACCTAAAATGAAATAAACAAAAAGCTTAGTGCCGGCAACCACGTAAAAATGCATGGATTGTATGATGGAAGATTTGGGTATTATCGTAAACGAGTATTTAGATAGAATGCTCTGCAGAAGAACTAAAGATAGAATGCTCTGCAGAAGAACTAAAGCTCCGATCACGGATCAAGGTGCAAAAACAGAATGCTAAAATTGAAAGAAGACTGGAGTTGATGCTGAACCAATGCTTCCATGCCAGAGGAAGAAGAAATAACATTCCATGCTCCCACACCCTTCCCTTCTCACTTACCAAAAGTAACTGCTTCCCTCATAAATTTACATAAAATAATAATTTATGTTCCAAATAATCAAAAGCAAAAATAAGTCAAGAAGGTGACCGGAGAATTATATGGATAGCTATAAGTTTCAGATGTAGTTGAGTTTATAACTATATTTATAATCCCCTGCTTTTAGAAATTAAATTTCAGTACAAAGTACATGAATTTAGTCATTCACAGAAACTGTTTTAGAATTGAAAAACGTAGCACTAGACAGTAAAGACATAAGATGAACTCATATTTATCCACAGGCTTTTTCTAGGATCACCATTTAATTTTACAGAGATGAAATGGACAAATGTGTACCAGTCAATTTAATTTATATTTGTTTACCAACCAGATGTCCAGTTTTCGGCTCAACATTGATGAAAAGACCAACCCCTTGCAAGTTTCCGTCACTTCCTATTCTAAAACTTTGATATTCCTGCATGTAACAATCAATGGTAATTAGATGTCAACGAGTCATTAAAAGAATGAATTTTAACTCAAAACAAAAATGATATTAGCTGAAAAGACAAAATTCACAAAGCATCAACTAGCATATAAACCAAAAGAAAAAAAGAACCTTGGGACTTATAATCCGTGTAAAAGGGTCTCCAAGAGTTGAAAGCATTCCCTTGACCTTACTATAAGCTGCATCCTCTGATCTAAGGGGAAACATTTCCACCATTGTTTGTTGCAGTTTCAAGTCCCAATCTGTAAATATATTAATAAAATCTTAGTTATCTAGGGATCTCGGAAAATTTATTTTGTCGGAAGTACCTTTTATATTCTTTCTATTTCATGAATGATTTAAACATGAAAGGCTAAGAAAATCCAGCGTATTTAGTTGTTACTCATTACGCAATTAAAATCAAGGTTATATACTAACTGGAATTTTCAGGAAAACGAATTTATTATGACAGAAGCAATTCAAGTGGTTTTCATTTCATTTCAAGGATAATAAAATAATTGTTTGAAACCCCGTTTTTCTCTTCTTCTTGGATATAAAAGTAAACCAAAAGGGGAAATTGATTAGGACCTTGATGATTAAATGTTGGATCTATGAAAGTCTCTCTAATCAAGCCCCATGCTTCCACAAGGGTTCTCTGGACGGTGTTCACCTGCGAAAACCGTGTCAGGCTATCATTTAAATAAAACCTTTTGTTTCCAAACTGGATAAGTTAACTTTTAAATTTTAACATTCTCCAAACTTGCTTTTTTCCAGTGTCGCTTAATCAACTTTTTAAGCTTACCAAAACATGCTCTGATAGACAATCTATATTCAAATTTCAACAACTTATCACACAATAAATAAAAATTATTTATAAGTTTTCTTCTCAATAAAACTGGAATAAAGTTAAAATTCTACAAAATTTGATACCTCAAGCGTGTGAGAAACAGGAAATGCTACAGTCAGGGTCTCAGCGAAAGCCGGAGAATCACAACACAAAGAAACTGCTGTAGCAAAACCAAGAACGCCTCTTCCAACCCATTTAACCAAATTTTCATTACACCCATAACTGGATTGTCTACTGGATTTTCTTTCATTCACGTCCTGAGTCAATTTTACTCTAAATTTCTGGGTTTTTCGACAATTTAAAACCGAAAAGAACAGTTTCGAAGTGGGTTTTGTGAGAGATTTAGGAACTGGAGACAGAGATGCTAGCTTGAGATCGAGATTTGGGGATAGAGATTCCATTTTTCTGAGAGGAAGAAAAATCAAGAAATTATTATGTTTCTTAAAAGAATTTTTTTTTTTTTAATTGTGGAAAGGGGTCTTATAAGGTGAAGTTTCGACAGAGACAGTTATGTTGTGATTCATGAAAGGAGCCCACATGAATCTTTAGCTCTGTGGTGGTTAATTCTGTTGCGTGTCTGAGTATCTCTGGGCATAGAATCCCAAATGAAACCTCCACCATTGCTACTTTAATGGCAGAGGATTTTTCAGTTATGATTAATGCAATTAATCTTAATTTATTAAAAAAAATTAAGCTCCTTTATTAGAAATGGCAAAATATTCGATTCCTACTGCCTAATCTTGCCTCGGGCCCCATCCATAGGAGAATCAAAGCGAGTAGGGCTGTTCGTGGGTCGGTTCAATTCTGAAGAGAGCTAAACCGATCCAAAACTTTTGGGTATTTAATAAATGGAACCGTCGGGTCCAAATATAATTATGGAACCGTTCGGGTTCGGTTCGGTTCGGTTCGATTCGATTCCGTACTATAATTAAATTTTTTAATATTTACAGCAACACTCTATAAATACAACTAATGACATTCCATTCGTAATTTTTACAAATTAACGTAGCCCAATTCAAAAATATATAAATAACTAGCCGTCCAATAAGATTAATTCAATGCATACAAATACCAAAAAATAGATATTAATATTACAGCAACACTACATAAAGTAAATTCATCTACTTTAAATAGCCTGTCTGCATAAAGAAAATGAAATATAAATTAAAGTTATAAAAATAAAATATTTTTAAGTATTGGTAATATTTACCAACTATTTGAATTTTATCTCATTTGAAGGCTTTAAATTTAGTGAGCAAATTCGAATAATCATGTAGTCATGAGCAAATTAAAATGGGCTAATGGGCTTTAAAAATAATTTAGACTTTAAAATTAAAATTATGAAATAATCTGATTTATTTAATTAATTTGCTAATTTGTTTTAAAAAATAAAATAATTTAATTAATTCAATATAAAAAATAAAAAATTCATTTAGTTTCGGTTCTTCGATTCTTGGTCTAGACTCAAGACCCGACCCAAACCCATCGGTTCTCGATTCGGGTTCCCGTTCGGGTATTTAACTTATAAAGAATCGCTCGATTCGATTCGGGTTCGATTCGATCTGGTTTGGTTCGAGACTTTTGGACACCCCTAACGGCGAGGGTAGGAAACATGGTCATCGATCTTAACCTTATTTTATTCTGTCTTATCTTTTAAGTTTAAATTATACTTGAATATAAAAATAATATTATTTATCATTATAATGAAGAAATATCGATGTTGTGATAATCTATATAGACTAATAAGATTGGACAATTCAATTTTTATTAGAGATGTCACAAAAATATTTGTTTCGCTTGAAATACTACAAGTGCATGGATCGTTAACAAGCAGTAAAATGAATTTTGAATCCAAATATCATTCCTACAAAGATTGTACCGGTTTAAATTCATATTATCTTCGCTTTAACCGAAACAATAGAAATTTATAATTTTTCTATAATTAAATTGTACACGCTTAAATTTACATAAGAATGCAAACTTAAATCAACTAAAATGCAAGTTTTATAAAAATATGATAATGAAAAGTGTATTAAGATTCTGAATCCCCTTTAACCCCTAAACTTAGAAATTGAACAGTAACTTTCAAGTATGAAGATCAATATACCTAATTTGTTTAACAATCTATCTCGAGTAGAATTAAACCTATTTTTACATGTGACTATATTTCCATTACGGATGTAAACATATAAAAATGCATTAAATATTTATAAATACTTAAACATCACGTAAAGTAACACAATATATTTCAATCTCTTATCGAACTCTACGACAATTGAGATTATGTGTAACTTATTTTCAATATTTAGGAAGTAAAATACGTTACAAACTCATACAACTATTATGCATATAATTGTAGAGAAAATTAAGTCAATGTTAATTAATCAATAATTAAAAATGTGCTTTATATGCCAAAAATAAATAAAATCATGAAATAAAAGTTCATCATATAAGTTTTATCCTAATCCTATCATAAAATAATTTAGCCTAACATAATGTCTGAATTAAATAAATAAAAGTGAAAATACATTATCGAAACTTGACGAAACATAATAATAAATTTTCCAAATTGAAGTTGTAGCCTTTTTCCTCTCCGGTTTTCCAATTCTATCCGTCTTTTCCCTTTCTGTGCGTAATTCCTTCTCTTTTTCTTTCCACCCGGTGCGCATCTCTGTCGGCTTCTGCGTGTATACAATTTTCTTATTGGCTGCCTTTTTAATTGTTGCAACCACAACTCTCTATTTCCAATTGAGAAAAATTCATATCTAAAAGTTTAACTATAACCTATCAAAGCTAAGAAATAACGTTTAAAACTTCAAAAATCAAATATTATTAAATATTATTTATGAAATAATTAATTAATTTAAAAAAATTTATTAATTAAATATATTAAAGTCACAAATTATCGAATTAACTGGTTACAAATTATTTATCGATCACAAAATTAAAACCGTTATAGGTCACAATTTATTTATCGATCAAAAATCATAAATTTTATAAGTCACGATTCAAATTTTTAGGTCACATATTATTTATTGTTCACAAAATATCAGAGTTATTGGTCACAATCTCAAATAATTAGTCACATATTATTTGTTGGTCACATATTAATCAATTTATTAATCATAATCAATCAAATGATTGGTCACAAACATCCCACCCACAAACCACCGTTGACCACCATCACCACCACCTCACCCACCGCCAATAACACCACCACAACCAACATCACAACCAGCACCACGACCCAAACACTACTAAAAAAATCAAATCCAAATCCAAAATTAGAGTCGAGCATCACCGGTGATGCTGCTTTTGCGTCATCGCAACAGCTGAGCCACTTACACTACCAAATTCGCAACCCATCTCTTTTGACCTATAAAATGAAAAGTACGATCCACATGAATCCCTTCCTTCTACCACAAGTTCAGCAACACTAACATCACTAGTCCTAATTCTCCTAAAAAGATTAGACATCCCAAGCATTTCAATTGGTTTAGGACATGCATAACTGGAGAATTCTTCAAATAACTGAAGTATTGGCTTCAAAAGTTTTGTACTTTTGAGTATGGATGCATAGCTGGTGAAAGGACCAAGATTACATTGAGCAAGACTTGATTTTCTCACTATATCTTGAGAAGGAACTCCAAAACAATTACTAACAATTGACAAGTTTTGATTGGAAGACAAATATTCAGAATTCAAGGTCTCCACATCTTGGACTGCATTGAGAATATGGGCAGACACAAGGAGTGGCCTAGGGGTCACATGACCCCCCAACTTTTGGGCAAATTCTTTCTATTTATTTATTTATTTATTTGTTTGTTTTTGTTTCAATTTTAGAAGTCATTATGGGATGCTACAAGAAGTCGAAATATTGCATTTTTAATACCATTTCAAAATGTTTATGTCTAGCCTTCTACATCATTAATAGCGCGCGAAACAGCCAACTATAGCAAATGTTACAACTTATCAAAGTATGCCGTTTCAAACTAGTATTTCGAGAACATGTTAATTTTAAAATTTCTCCGACGATCGTACGCTAGCCGAATCCATAAATTGTATATGTCGTCTCGAAGATTATTTCGAGAACTATATCATAAATATATCGAAGGGTCTAAACATACATCGAAAATAGTTAAATGTGCGTCAAACTTGCATCTTAAAAATAGGCGTCTAACTCGTCTTTTCTTCAAAAAATTTCAATTATTTAATTAATGCTGATTATTTTTATGCGACAAATTTCTCAAAATAATTTTACATAAAAAAATTTCAAAATTTTACATTCTATAAAGTCATACGCCATATACATTTTCAAATATAAATTTACATGTGGAATGATTTTTTTGAAGGTAAATTTTTTAATGTAAAATTTCTCGCAACTTTTTTTGAAAGTTTAATTGTGCCCTCTAAATTAAAAATTATGTGTCGGCCCTGCCTGAGACTAATATTTTCTGAGTTCAAATTGCGAGAAGGATAATTTGAAGTGGAGAATTAGGGTAGTTTATGGAGAAATCGATTTTAATTAATTAGGGCGCGGAGAGAGGGTGAGAGAGTATAGAGATATTGTAGAGGGAAAGTAGATATAAAATTAATTTTTAATAATAATATATTTATCTAACAATAATATATTAATTAAAAAATAATCTGATTTTTGAATTAATAAGCATAATCTATGATTTATGAAATGAAATCTCTAAGGGTCTGTTCTCTTTACTGTTTTCAGGTCATTTTCAATTTTCGAAAACACTGAAAACACGTTTACTTACCTATTTTCAAAAATGAATTTTCAAAAATGAGTTTAAAATTTACAAAGAAGACGAAAAACGCTAAAAATGTCGTTTTGGCTGTTTTTAGTTAAAACCAAGCCAAAACTTCATTTTTTTTTTAAAACAATTTTTCAAAATAATAAGAAGAACACGTTTTCAGTAATCTCAAAATGGACACTCAAAACACGAAATGAAAAATAAATTCAAAACTCAAAACTAAAAATTGAAATACGAAGAGAACAACCCCTAAATTTTTGGGTCCAATTTCCACTTTTCAATTCCTACTCTCTGTCTACCCGTGCGTATATATTCTGCTTTTCTCCTCTTTAATTCTCCCCACCCGCCGCCTTTTTCTCTTGTTTATCAAAAGAATTCCCCCAAATATTTTAATTGATTTTTCTCCTTAGCCGCAATTGGTTTATTCCTCTATCTCTCATTCTGTCTCTGTATGTGTGTATATGTATCAATCTTCACAGTCGCCAACTTCTGGAAAGAGGAGCCTAGCCCGATAACCTTTTATTCCTTTTCGCCATTAATTCTATCCCCGAATCAGTTGTTTTGTAGAATATAAAGCTATGCATTTTCAGCATTCGTGCCCTTCCTAGGTTTCCTCACATTCCCCGGGATGAGAT